GACCGAACTCCAAGGGGTAATTGTCAAGAATCTCCACCTATTCTACCTTACACATATGGCTAAAAGAAAGGACACCTTTTCTCCGAGGCTCAAATCAAGGTTCTAAGGAATATTTCGATAAAAAGGTCGGCTTGAAAGGCTCAAACGGTTCAAAGAAGGCCCAAATCATATCCCGGAGTCACTCACTACTCAATACTTCGTATCATAAATTCCTAAGGTGAGTCTAAAACCGAACATAGCATGATCTAGCACAAATTAATTCCAAATTTAAAATACAAAACATTCAACCAAAGCAATGCACAAAATGTGATTCCTAGCAATAATTCGCTTCTAAGTCCCGTTGAATCGAAAGCTAAACAAACATCAAATCCTTATCACACAAAACAAGCAATTTCATCATCAAACATTGATCATCTCTCATCATCATAAATCATAGATGCCTTTGACTCAAGCAATTTTTTTTTTTTTTTTTTTTTTATATTCCGGAAAAAACGGGGAAAACAATAAAAACGAATAAAACCTAATGCATGCAAACTAAAGCAAATAAGCAAAAAAAAAAAAAACATATTTTTCACCCCCAAACTTAAAATTTTCGTTGCCCTCAACGAAATTAGTACAAAGTTTTAAGGATAGAAAACACCTGATTTAGTCGAAGTCGATGTGATCGGGGTGCTCCTCCCTCCTTCTCTCATGCTCATCATCATCGGAAAGCTTGGGCACAGGCTCAAGAATGGGTGCCGGTGGATGCCGGCTCGATGCACTCGGGCTTGACTTGAAAAGATGAGATTTTGAAGAAGTTGGTTCGATGCTCTAGCCTCCCTGTCAATACCAACACAAAATAATAATTTGAGAATGCGTGAGTGAATTATATGTGTGAAATTGAAGAATTTTTGGAAGAGAAATTCAAAAAAAATTCGAAAATTCGTGTGTGGGAGTTAGAAAGAAGGAAAGAGGGGGGTTTAAGAAATAATGGGGGAGAAAATCGAATTTTTAGAATTTAAAACGCTCAGTAATAGCCTCGGACGGCCGTCCCATCTTTTAGCCTATTTCTCGGACGGCCGCACCGTTTCTCGAAATTGGGCAGAAGCGGCTCCGAAACTCGGACGGCCGTCCGAGATTTTAACCCTCATTCCGCACGGCCGCGCCAAGCTGCAATTTCGTCCAGTAGCTGCTCCAAAATCTCACACGGCCGTGTGAGATTCATGCCTTTTTCTTGCACGGCCGTGTGAAGAATTGCAATTGGGTCCCTACTCGACTCTCGACTCACGTTTTCGGCCCTGAAAAATAAAATCCAAAAATAAATAAATTAGAATGCATGCTTATGATACTAAAAACGAAACGAAAAATTAAATAAAAATACGAAAAACAATAAAGCTCGGGTTGCCTCCCGAGAAGCGCTAAGTTTAAAGTCTTCAGCCGGACGTTGCTTCTTTAATTTCAAGCAAAAGTGACCGAAGTCACTTGGCAATCTTCACTCGCTTCCCAATACGGTTTGAGCCGGCTCCGTTTTACGTTGAACGTACGATTTGAATCGCGCTCCTTTATTTTGACCACCTCGTGAGGAAGAATTTCTTGGACAATAAACGGCCGCGACCACTTTGATTTGCGCTTCCTTGGAAATAACCAAAGACGGGATTTGCACAATAACACCAATTGTCCTTTGTGCAATTCCTTTTTGATTTTCTCCTTACGACCACAATAGCTTGACTCATCCTTCTCTCGTGACTTGCTCGAACCTTTGGTTGGCAACATCTTCCTTGCATTCTCATCGTCGTTAAGACCTCGACTCGCATGACTTTCTCTTGGAGGATTTAAAATTGAGTCCATGAAATAAACTTGCTCCTTCCGATTCCCGTTTCCGCCATCATCTCCTGCACTCAAAGATGCTTTCCCATTGTCCAAGTGCAAAACATCAAATTTTTCATTATTTGTAAAATCCATAAGCTCAATAGCAAAACAATCATTATTTTCACATGGATTTTTATTAGCACTAAAAACATTGAATTTGATTGTTTGATCATGCACAGTCATTGTAAGATCACCACTAGCACAATCAATGAGAGTTTTCGACGTGGCTAAAAACGGTCTCCCTACGATAAGAGGTATCTCCCTATCCTCATCTATATCAAGTATAACGAAATCAACAGGGAAAATAAATTTATTAACTTTCACTAGCACATTCTCTAAAATACCTTTTGGGTAAACTAAAGATCTATCGGCTAATTGAAGAGTTATAGCCGTCGGTTCAATTTCTCCTAACCCAAGATTTTT